ATTGGAACTTATTATATTCTCAATTGTAACAAATTAAATACATTTAATTGTCAATTTTCTGGATTGTTATTAATTTAAAAAAATTTTAAATTTTTTTTTTTTTTTTTTTTTGGCAATTAGAACAAATTCTAGACTCAATTGTAAGAAAAATTATCACTTTAATGGATAATTTTCATAAAAAAAGGAAGCCAAATGAAACCAAATTTTCAACATTTTTCAGATGAAAAGTTATATCAATCAAACACAATTAATTACAATTCTCAGTAAAATAATTTATAGACAATTTAATTCTCTGTAAAACATTTTCTTTCCACCAATTTTTCACATTTGCAATCAAATGGATCCTTAGAAAAATATATGGAAAGGGACATTATGAAACATTTCAAACGAGGAAAAAGATTGTGGCACCAAAATAATATCTTCACATATCTTGCTAATGCATTATGCATAGCTTTAAATGAAATTAAATCTTCATTATATTTTGTTATCGTGTTCCATTTGAATTTATGATTTTATGTTTACTATGAGCACACCCCCACCAACACGCATAATTATTTATTTCTAACTAATTGCTCATTATTCCAGTGGTCTATATATATGAGGATGTACGTATATATTTATACGAGAAAATATACACTTTTACTTGATTAATTGTGTGGTTGAAAATAAGAGAGTGAAAACTATATTTTGAAAATAATGAGAACCAAACAAGGGCTAAATAGTTTCATCTTAATTATTATGCTGCTACAATTTCCTTTTAGCCCCTGTTTGGTACACATTAAAATTTTCATTTTCATTCTTCTACTCATTTCCAACCACACATTCTTAAATAAAATAATATTTTCCATCACATCAATAACTTTTCATTCTTTTTCAATCACAAATTCTCCATCAATCTACTATTTCAGAATACATTCTTCCCAAATAATGTGGCTCAAAAAGATTGAGTTTAAATAAATAATTTGTCATCTATCTAAGAGATGGTTCCACTTGACATCAAAAGCATATAAAAACTTTGAACAATAGTATATGCACATCACTTTTTACATAGTACGGTACACCGTTGTACAATATGGATAGTTTAGAAAAATAAATGATTTTTTCAGCAATCAAATCATGCCAAGTTGAATGCTGTCAAAAGTGATGTACACTTTTAATTTACAACTGGCTTAACTCGAAAAATTTAAGTATGGTCATCATTTGTTTATAAAAATTGTGAACTCGATAAGCTTGTAATGAAAAATAAATAAATATTTGAGAGAGCGTGTGGAAAAATGAATTTAAATAAATAAAATGTCATACATCTATCAATTACATGAGATGATTCAACGTGTTTTTAAAGTTATCTAATGTCTTGAACCTAAATTCCGAGGATGCTATTTGTAACTTTTTGAAAGTGCGAGACGTATGATGAAAAGTAAATGAATCATGTGAGTAACAATTCGTTTGACAAATATCCCTGATACAATAGTATTCAATGAATGCAGAATTGTGCGTAATTGAAAAAGCCATGATTTGCGCTGGCCGCTGCTGATTGGAATTTCCAAGTCTATATAAAGGCATTCATGTTGTCAATTCAAGGCACAAACTGACCAAACCAACCTAGCCATATATACTAAATTAAGTATAATGGCATTTAGTAAGGGAGCCCTACTTCATATCATCTTCTTATGTTTCACGTTTATTTCTTGGGAATTAGAGGTTGAAGGAGTTCCCGATTACAGGGATGCTCTAGCTAAGTCCATTTTGTTCTTTGAAGGACAGAGGTCCGGGAGGGTTCCTAAAGGCCAACAAATCACATGGCGATCCGACTCTGGACTTTCCGATGGTTCATTAGCTCATGTAAGCGACTAAATTTACTTTTTTCCTTTTCCCTTGAGATATCTAACTTATTCTACATTGATAATTAAATTTTAATAAATAAATGTATCTCTTCTTTTACCACTTTATTTAACTCTTTAGTCCAAGTGCTTAAGCATCTGTTTGGTTTTGCTAAAAAATAGATTTTTTGTATATTTTAATAAAAGTTGATGAATACGTAGTTGAAAAGTTGATACAAGTTATTGGTCTTATGAGATGTGTGATTAAAATTAATTATTGATTTTCACTTAAATTTTATCAACTCCTATGACTAAACCATACGAAATTGTTCTCCCGTCCACACTTACAGTTCTCATCAAATGTGGGAATTATAAGTAAAGTTCTTTCCAAGTGAGCAAAATAAGACTTTTCCCTGTGAATAGAAAAAAATTTCTACTAAACCATACACTAAATGTAGTATTTTTTAAGGATAATCTCTTCCCTGCCCAATGTTGACACTCCCGTAGGGTTGTCTCGGCTCGCGAGTTAAAACTTGATGCTCGGGCTCGAGTAAAATTAGGCTCCTTGTCGAGCCGAGCCGACTCGCGATTTTTTAAGCAAGCGGCTTGCCTACAAATGCACGCTGCCTTTTTTAAAAAAAAAAAAAATTAAAATTAAAAGCAGGCAATGTTGCTTGCAATTGTTGCCTTTTGAAAAAAAAAGAATTTTTTTTAAAGGTCCGACTCTTCACAAGCCAAAATGGCCCGTGACACTAGTCTGCTCGTGTGGCTCGACAACCCACACGGGCTAGGCCAAGCTTAGGCCAAACACCCCAAAATGGGCCTCGACAGAGCCTTGAGTCCGACCGACCCGAACTTTTTCCGGGCCAAGCCATGAGCCGTCCGACCCGACGAGCGAAATTGACACCCCTACACTCCTGAGAAGAAAGAAACACTATATATATATATAATTCATTGTCTCATTTATATAGGCTTACTTTCCTTATATTTTTGTCTCAATTATATAGTTTTGTTTCTTTATTGAGATTGTTTTGCTTTATTCATTTACTAATATACCATTATTTAATATGCGTAGCTATAATCAATTGACTTCAGTTTTTTATAATTAAATAAGGGTAAACTGGAAAAGTTTTTGACAAAAATTGATTTTTCAATAACATTAAATAAGACTTCTTAATTCGTGTGAAAAACAACATCAACTTATATAAATGGGATGGAGAGAGAGTGTGTGTGTATGTGTTTTTTAGATAAAGTCGTTCAATGTTGCAACAAATAAAGATCATGAATGTAAGTCTCTTTGTCACTTATCTATGAAAGTTAGTATGCGTCAAATCTTTGATGGAAAAATGAATCCGTTGTCCATGTGAAAGGACGTATGAAGATTAAATTTTATATCTCTTGAATTTTTCGATGAAAGTCATTTATTTCTCCCATGAACTCTTAATTATTTCTGTTTACAAAGCTTTTAGTGTGGAATATGTTATGTCCCTAGACAGTTGATACCCTCTTTCAACTATAATTCCTAGTCACAATTTTTTAACAGAGAAGTAATAAATCTTTAATCATATTCCATAATGATCAATCATTTCTTTTCTTTTCTTTTTCCTGTTTTTAAACATAAAATTCTGTTTCTTACCTGACAGGAATATAATATTTTTAGTCGTGGGTCCTATATAATGTATAATGTATGATTAAAATTAATTATTAACTTTAATTTAAATTTTAATTTTAATTTTAATTTATAGGGGTAAAAATATTTCCGGTTTTTAAACATAAATTCTGTTTCTTACATTAATTATTTTGGCATGTCAGGTGGACCTCACCGGAGGCTATTATGATGCCGGAGACAACCTAAAGTTCAATTTCCCAATGTCCTTCACCACCACAATGCTATCGTGGTCCACTCTTGAGTATGGCAAGAAAATGGGCCCCCAATTACAATCTGCGCGAGTCGCCATCCGTTGGGCCACAGACTACCTCCTGAAGTGTGCAACCGCAACCAGCGGCCGGCTCTACGTCGGCGTGGGTGACCCGAGTGCAGACCATAGGTGTTGGGAGAGGCCAGAGGACATGGACACCGTCCGAAGTGTGTATTCGGTATCACCGAGCAATCCGGGTTCAGACGTTGCGGGAGAAACAGCGGCGGCATTGGCAGCGGCTTCGATGGTTTTTCGAAAAGTCGATCCGGTTTACTCGAAATTGCTATTGAGAACTGCTAAGAATGTTATGCAATTTGCAATTCAATATAGAGGATCCTATAGTGATTCACTTGGATCAGCTGTTTGCCCTTACTATTGCTCATACTCGGGTTATAAGGTACGTATAGAGCATACTAAAAAATTGAAAAAAATGAAAAAAGAACTTAAAATTTTGTTTACTATATTGTTGTAAAAGGCAAAATATTGTACAAGAAACTAATAATTAAATTATGAGCTAATTATTTTTCATTTTTCTTAATTTACTGCAGGATGAGTTGTTATGGGGAGCTGCATGGCTTTATAGAGCAACAAATGATGCATCTTACATGAATTTCATAAGAAACTTGGGGGCCAATGATGCAACCGACATATTTAGTTGGGACAACAAATTTGCTGGTGCTTATGTTCTCCTTGCAAGGGTCAGGAACTAACTAACATCGTATTCTTCATCAAACCATGCTAATCAACTCTATAGTATTGATTAGAGAGTCGAGTTAGACTGACGGATGTAATTGAAAAATCGAAAACCAACGCAAAATTGAAACTAAAACATAAAAAATGGCCGATTCGCCCTATGGGAATTGGGAACACACACACGTGGGTCCCACGGTTATTTTTTTTAAAATACACGGTGGGGTCCACTCATTGTGGGTTTTCTGTTGAAAGAAATTATGTGGGAATATTTATGTACATGGGGGAAAATCTTATTTAATTATTTTTGTTGTGCAGAGATTCTTGGTGGAGAAAAATCAGGCTTTCCAGCCATTCATACAACAATCTGAAGATTTCATCTGTAAAATTCTACCCAACTCTCCTGGCTCCAGTACACAATACACACCAGGTACTAATTAAAAATTAATTATCTCTAATGAATCTTATATTTAAATTAATGAAAAATATATATTAATTTGTATATGTATATGTATATATAATGCAGGAGGTTTGATGTATAAATTAAGTGCAAGTAACATGCAGTATGTGACAAGTATAACCTACTTGCTTACCACTTACTCAAAATACATGGCAACTGCAAAGTATTCTTTCAACTGTGGAAACCTATTGGTCACCTCAAAGACTCTACGCAGCCTAGCCAAAAGACAAGTAAGTTCATTTAATCTTTGATTGGTTTAGCTAAAACCATATTTTTAGTAGATTTTGATAAAAAGTAGTCAAAATGTATGGTTGGAAAGTTGATAAAAATTGTGGATCCCTTGAAATATATGGTCGAAAATGAGATTGAAGAAAAGTAAATTTTAAAAAATACTTGCCAAACAGGGACTTAATTTTAAAAAGATAACATTAGACGGGGTGGGTAAAAAGCTATTGTTCTTCTATCAGTCCATCGGTTTATGAGTCCGATAGTGTAAAATTCTATTGTTGAGAATTAAACTTAAACCTTACTACAATTCAATTATTTCATGATACCGCACTTTGTGTTTTCCAATATGTAATAAATACTATAAAATCCTTGTCATGCATGAATTTTGTGTTATTAATTTTCAATTAATTAACATTCACATTAATGTAGACTCAATGAATCTTGATCTACGTGAATTTAGAGTTATTTATTATAAATAAATTTATTTTTATTCATGTATTTAAGAATTTTAGTAGGTGTTTAAATTTATGTATCATATATCCTTTAATTTCTGCAGGTTGACTACATTTTAGGAGAAAATCCTTTAAAAATGTCGTACATGGTTGGTTACGGGACAAATTTTCCGAGAAGACTTCACCATAGAGGATCCTCTTTACCCTCACAGACAATCCATCCACAAACTTTTGGTTGCGAGGGTGGTTTCCAGCCATTCTTCTACACTGCAAATCCCAACCCTAATATTCTAACTGGTGCCATTGTTGGAGGTCCAAACCAGAATGATTTTTTTACAGATGATAGAACAGATTATAGTCATTCAGAGCCTGCTACTTATATTAATGCTGCCATTGTTGGACCTCTGGCATACTTTGCAGGGAGCAAATGATGATCTATAGTTCAAATATACATGATAGAAATGTATGGAAGAACTGCAAATGTAGATATGAATATGTCATGTATCACCAAAAAAATTTGGTGGATATTTGGATGTTTGATTAAATCTCGTTTAGTTTAAGTATGTGGCTTTATAGTTTAAGCACATACATTCGATCTATGTATGACCAGAGTTGCCTTGTCGAATAACTTTCCTAAGTGATGATGGCATATGACTAGGTCGAATGGAGTGTAGTTTCTTTAACTTATATTGTACCTCATCTTATAATGGAAGAAGTTCCTTTTTCTTTTTCACCTTTAGCTACCGGCGAGGGTCGAACCCTCTCCTCAATGTGTAATATGTTTTATCTTCATTATTAATAAAATATGTCATATATAATGGCAGTGCTGGCCTTTATATTTAGGAGACTTATGCAAACTTCGAATATGGACCCCACATGAATATTATGATTTTTATCTATTTTTGATAAAAATTAATAGAATATGTGGTTAAAAAATTGTAGATCTTATGAAAAATGTGGTTAAAATTAATTGTTAATTTTGACTTAAAAGATAATTAAACATAATCAGAAAAATTAGAAGACAAAATACAAGATTTAAACTGCAGACGACCTGACAAATATAAAAAAGGACACTAAAAATCCCAAACCAAATTACATAACACATAGAAAAGTATTAGTTTAATTAAAACATTCATCAATACAATGACACTAAAAAATTGAAAAAAAAATGAACAAATAAAACGAAAAGCAAAAACCTATATAAAGAAATGAATACCAATGCTTTAAAACTTGACCCGAACATTGACCCTGAAAAGTCAAAGGGTCAAGTGGTTCAACCGAAATCCACTCGAATTGAACCGGTGGTAAGAAATTATTGAGCTTATGTTTGGCCCACCATTATTTAATATTATAATTTTTGAAATAGTTTTTTTTTTTTTAAAGAATGTGTAGTTGAAAAAGAAGTTTTTATTTTATGTGTAATATTATTTTATTAAAAAATGTGTGATTAAAAAGAAGAGAGAGTAAAATATATTATAAATTTAATGGAGGTCTAAGCTGAATAAATACAAAAATATATATATGAGCATATAAAATGTAAAATGATTTATTTACTTTTTAGATATGATTATTTTATACTTATTAAATAAATAACTACAAGTTTATATTTAAGAGTATATAAAATATTTTTTTTCTATAGTTATTTCGTACTTCAATACTTATTTGGTAGATATGTTAATTTTTTTAAAATTAGTAAATTATAGCGAAGAGTGCTACATTGAGAATTGTAGATTCTCCCACTGTAACTAATGGCAATTGCATCACTTCATCCCACATCGGAGAACTCAACAAGCAGGAGTGATGAGTAACAGAGTATGTCTAAATAATTTTTTAAATTAAAGTTTAGAGGAAATTACACCTACACCTAGAATTAGATTTTCAATTTCACAAATTAGATCACAAGTTTAACATTTCAAAAATCATGTTTTAATTAAAAATTTAAAAATATTTTTTTATTTTAATTTTTATATCTATATACAATAAAATAATTTGACACAACCAAACCCTAAATCGTTTGAATCAATTCTTCCCCTCCACCCTCTCTCCTTCCACCGCCTCCATTTCTCTCACCTCTCTCCACAGCGCCACCTCCTCCCACCACCACCGCATTCACTACCCCAACCGTTTCTTTCTCACTATGGCGAAGACGACGGCGACTCCACCTCACGACGATGATTATAGGTGAAGGGGACAGCAACTCCACCATTTTTTTTTTCTTCTTGTTGCTTCTTCTCCACTGGATCTGCATCTGCATCTGCATCTCCCTCTCAACGAAGTTGTCGACACCCTCTCGTGAGCCTGAATCTGAATTTATCTCTCTCAGTCTCCCTATTCCTCTCCTTAATAGATCTGGATCTCTCTCTCTCTCTCTCTCTCCACCATGTTCCAGTCGTCATGTGCGCTTCTCGATGATTGTAGTTGCGATAACGTGGATCTAGTGTTTCTCTGCTACTCATATTTAATTTCTGTCGACCTTGGATTTTGATTTTGGCTTGGTGGTAGTTAGCAAATTCTGGTGGTGTTTGTAATTGGGTGGTGGTGGTTGTGATGTGTGGTGGCACGGCAGTGGTGATGTTGGTTGTACGGTGAGATTGGTGGTTCTGGTGCGATGGCGGTGGTTACTTGTGACTTATTATTTGGTTATTTGTGCGCTGCCAAGTGTGGATCTGAAGTTGGTGACGGCGGTGGTTGTGTGTTCTGTGTGTGATTTGTTTGTTTGCTTTGGCTGTGCATGTACCAATGGAGGTCTTGGGGTGGTGATAGTGGTGTTGGGGATGGTGCCGCTGGTGGAGGCGGTGGAGAAGCGGTGGTCACAAATGATTTGGTTGTTTGTGACCACTAATTTGGTCGGTTGGCGACTAATAAACTATATGTAACAAATGAATTAGGTAAAATGTGACCAACACATGATTTGTGACATAAAAATTATTAATTTGTGACCAATAATTTGATAAATTGTGACCTAAATATAATTTATGTGCCAATTAATGTGATGTTTGTCACCGTAAATAAGTATTGTGNTGTGTGATTTGACACAAAGAATACATTTTTTGCTAGAATAATGGTTACCAAAAGGTGCATAAATATTTAATAATTCATTATTTCATAAATAAAAAATTTTAAAAACCCGATTTGTGAAATTTAGAACTTGTTTTTGTATTTTTGAAATGGTGTAAAGTAAATACCTTAAAAATATATTGTTCTCTAAAGTTTATCCTTTAAAATCGTCCAAATTCGGGACCGGTTCAACGGGTCCCCTTAAACAGGCCCAGTGGCTAGTTTTTTTTTTTTTTTTTTTGAATGGGTTTTTAATATAAGGTTTTTCCAATGTAATCAGCCCGGATATGGAGCCAGTTCTCGATTTTGCTAGTTGTTACGATCGATCGACTGATTTCAATAACATTGATGAATACCAGTGTCTATAAGTAATTCCTTGAATAAGTGTAAAATCCATCTTGAGAACAATAGAAAAAGTAATGGCCGTAAATTTTGAAAAGATAAAAGTAACATTTGTTTCTTGTTAAGAAAAATAATGGTTGAGAAGGTAAATGATCAAATTAATTATATATAGAAAAAATAATGACTGATATATTTATATGATACATAAATGTTTGTGATAAGTTTTATGCGATTTATATGATTTTTTTAGAAATGTTTGTATTTTCAAATATTATATGTTTCTTGTGTTTACATATGATAATTATAATTTAAAGAATTTCGTAATTATATTTTTTTTGTTTTTCTTCAACAAGTCAATTAACGTTATATAATTTGAGGTCCTCATCAAAGCGAAGTCTACACTTCTTATAATCAAGGTCGTCCATGCATTATTATATAAAGTCTACTCACCCTGTTATCTCCACTTGACTAATAGTCAGGTTGTCTTATTCACGGCAATTAGTTTGAGATGATGATGTTCGCCGTACTTTTTCAATTGGACAAGTCACTTAACCTCTATCGACTGCATATGGGTTATATTGCATGGTACTGCATATTTCTTTAAATTGAGTTACATTGTTTAGCATATCTCTGTGGACGATAGAGTTTTCATATATGTAGTGGGTTCTAATTTATTTAGATAAAGAGAACAACCAAAAGACCATTCTCGTAACTTATTCTATTTCGTAGAAGGAAACTTGTATAGCTTTAACTCCGATCTCTCCTTTTAACTATTTTTGAGTTTTATGCATCTCATTAGAGTAGAAACTTGGGAAAGGTGAGAGAGTTTATTGGAGAGCATCGTGCAACAATGCTGCTTTGAATCATATGGGTTGGGTCGCTCAAATTATGATCATTGAATCCCATAAAAGATTTAGTTTGCCCTCATTGTGCACCAATTGATTTAGAGATGCAATGATTGTAACTCGATCCTAATCAGTGGTATCAGAGTTAGGATCACGAATTCAAATCATAAGAGTATCTTATTAAGGTATGGATTGTTGGGGAGCAACAATGCTACCTCAAGTCCATGACTCTCAAAGTGAACGTTTTTTTTTTTTTTTGGCTCATCTTTATAAATTGTTTATAAACACTCAAATCATTTTGTATCCACACATTTCGAGAGATACCCTGCTAATATCAAATTATCAACAAGTTTTTTCTATCTATTTATATTTTAAACCGTTTATAAACACTTTTCAAACATGCTCTAAATTGATTAAGGTTACTACACATCATTTGCATGGTCTTTTTAGCCTCCGTTTGACAAAATTTACAAATCGTTTATAAATAGTCAAATTTCATTTTCAACACGCATTTTAATTACCTACAAGTACTATGCATCATTCATTTCTATCTACTTACTAATTAAACCTTTGATAAATTCTTACAAGACGGAGAGTTAAAACCGGCATTAGTTTCCTCTAAAATGAATAGTAACACATTAGGTCAAGTAATTGACCCATAACAACAACCATTGTTTAAAATCAATCCGTGATTCATATTCATTGAGTATGGTCTTGTTCAACATCTTCTCTTGACACGACTCACCTTTTCTTCATATTCTTCAATTGAGAAGGAAATTAACTTTGCCACGCAAAAACTTAATATGTAGGCTAGGATTCCACGCTATGCTTGTAGTAATTCACCTTGTCCCGATTAGCTAAAGATTGTTTGTTGAGTTATATGCTTTAACAATTTGAGCCCAATGAATATGAAGAGTCCAGTCCAAATTGACTGCAACCCGGCAGCCCATTCTTTATATTCCAAAGGCTGAAATGAAGCCACGTGGAAGGGCTGTGATCTTTGGATGCGTCTGATTGTTTGTATTATTGGCTTGACCATTTTATTTGCCCTTATTCGAGATAATTCTAGAGTTTTCTCTTCTCTTGCTCTCTCAGTTCTCTCTCTCTAAAAACCTTTAATTTTCTCCTGTAATCTCTAAACTCTAGTGTTTCTTGGTGAGATCTAGTGTTTGTAAGGTTGTTGTTTAGGCGAATATGTTATGATTGTGTTCAGTAACTGTTAGTTACTTTGTGTAATGGTGTTTGTGGTTTCTTGAGAGAAAATCTGGGTTGGGGGCTTTATCCTTTGTGGATATGTTGTATTGTGACACTTGCTTCGATTTATTGTTGGTTTCTAGTGGATTTGAGTGATAATCACTTCGATAAATACTCAACGGGTGATTAGCCCTATTTTGGGTGAACATTCGGGCCTCAGGACAAAAAATCCTTTGTGTTCAATTTACTTTCTGCAATTACTTTGTGTGTTTTGGGGGCATGTTAATACCAACATTGTTATTTTTAAAATGAAGGTCAAGAATTCATATTGGTGCCTCCTCTCTCCTCACCCTAAAAAATGGTAAGTTCATTTTTCCCTATTAATTAATTTAAAAATCATCAATCAATTTGTTAAAAACGATCTAAAAAATTGTGCTGTGGAGGTTCCAAACCTATCGAAATTATGCAATTGTGTCGAAACTTATTCTGGCAGCCAAAATCTTCCAATTTTGTAGCAACTGAGTCACTAATGAGTAACGAACAGTCTCATCTATTTAAATTATAAATAGTCACAAATAATGCATGCAAAACACTATTTCAAGGATAAAATCTTTCTGGCCCAGGCTTATACTTTGTTTATAACCACTCTTTTAAGTTTTTTTTATCCAACATTTCGAGAAAATCACAAATAGTACTTATTTATTCACTACTCATTTTCTCTTTCTATAATTTAAATCATTTATAAACACTTTTCAAGCATGATAGATGATTTTAATGCAAAGTTGAAAAGAAAAGAAAAAAAATTAGCCAGGCCATCCCCAGCCAATTCTCAAATCCACATACACGCCCTTCCTAACTCAATTTGCCAAATCCGATGATTTCTTTATCTCGATTTACCCATTATTCCCCTATCCATGCACACTCCACTTTTGCCCTCGACTCCCAATCGTTCCCCTTTTCTGTAGGGCTATTAATGTCCATCATGAGTTGACTTGTGCTAGTTTTGGAGTGAGCCAACCACAAGTTCAACTAGTTAAAAAGCTATCGCCCAACTACTTTTAATTGAAAAACAAAAATTATTTTTTTTTTTAAAAAAATTGAATTTCAAAACTTGAATTCGAGTCGCCCAACCATTGACATACTGAATTCGACATGATGGCACCTGTTACGTGTCAAATGTCATCATGTCATGCAGCCAATGGTTGGAAAATATAGCCATAGCCCATAATTGAGTTAGACAAACTATGCTCGATGAGTCAGCTCGAGCGAGCAGCTCATACGTGAAAATCTCAAGTCGAGTCGACATTACTGGTGTACGAGTTGTATTTGAAACGAGTCAAGACAGTGAAGGACTTATCCTATTTACCACCCCCGAATATCCATGTCCTCGTATTGATTCGTTCCTCTCATAACGCCCCTATCTATTTCCCGTTTCTCCCAACTTTTAATGGGATAGTAGCAGAATGGGTGAAGTGTTTTCTTTAATTTTTTTTTTCTTTCAAGTGAAAATACACGTAAATTGCTTTTGCATTTTCATTTTAAATTAATGTTTATTGACAAAATGAATAAACGTTCACTAATAACTAACTTGTCACACTTGAAAAGTTAGAGACCCTCCTAAAAAATAAAAACAAATAAATGGTAGGATGGGACAAGGTTTAGGGATGGAGTGGAGTGGGGCAGGTCGACCCAAGTAGACATCCCGAAAACATTTCAATTTTTTTAGACAGAATTTAAAGAAAATTATAGAATTTTTTTTATTAAGGAATATATGCGAGCTCAATTTGGCTCAAAGACTCGTTCTAAAACAAGTCGAACCATTCACGAACCAAACTCTTATAAGGCGAGCTGCAAAGTTGGCGGTGTTCGAGGCTTATTGCTTTCCTAGTGCTTATATCTTTGTTGATATTCTTCCACGTGACACCATGATATATCTAACAATATTTCCCATCACTAGGGGTGTGCATGAGTTGAGTTGAGTTGGGTTGGGTCGGTTTTTACATCAACCCAAACCCAAACTCAAACCCAACCCAACATAATCGGTTTGATCAAAATTTAATCCAACCCAACCCGTGTAAATGTTGAAACCCAACTCAATCGAGTATCAGTATGGTTGTGTTGAGTTGGTCGATTTGGGACGACTTGTCAACAAAAATTAAAGTCATTCAATTTTCTATTATACTAAATTCGAATAGACAAGATTAAATAGTAAGTAAATAAATAAATAAAATTATCTATTAACTTGTGCAATCCTCATTAGCCAAGCCTACAAAGAACAAAGTGCATTTAACATAACATAAAAAACTTATACTACATTTCTTGTGGGAAGAACAATAAGCTCTTCATCTAAAATACACCAAGGTAATTACAGTTATACTATCTACTCATACTTTCTAAATTTCTTTTACTTTTCTAAACATTTTATTTCTTTTATTTTTTTTTAAGTGGCGGGTTGGGTTGGACGTGTTTATTCGATTTTCTTGAGTTAACCCATAACTCGACCCAACCCAACTCGCCTACACAGTCAGCCCATCCAACCCGTGTAAAAACAACAAAAAAATCGACCCAACCCGATAGGGTTGGTTCGATTTGGACGGTTTGAGCGGGTTCGGTCGGTTTTTGACCACCCCTACCCATCACTACTAGATTGTGTCAAATATGAGATGTCAAAACAAGATGTACATGTAGATTAATTATTTGAAACACTTTGCAATGTTTCCAAAAAATTTAAAATATAATCTCTTTGGATTAATTTATGTGTACATAGATTAATAATAGGGGTTGACTCATGTATACACACCTATGTACACATAGCATGTCACGTTGTCTTTTGATTTTATTTTATTTCCCTTAAAATATAGTAACAGATCGGGTCAAGAATCGGGTACATAACACCGCCGGATTCCAGTAAATTCCAGCTCCCAGGGAGAGAAGCACAACTAGGGTTTTACTCTCATTCTTTCAGAAGAAATCTGAAAGAAAAAAGGAGAGATTAATTTTATTTAACACACATATTTGATCGAAGATGAGGCCAATATTGATGAAGGGGCACGAGAGGCCATTGACGTTTTTAAAGTATAATAGGGAAGGGGATCTACTCTTCTCTTGCGCCAAAGACCACACTCCGACGGTTTGGTTCGCCGACAACGGCGAGCGTCTCGGCACCTACCGTGGCCATAACGGCGCCGTCTGGTCCTGCGATGCCTCCAGTAATTAATTCTCCTGTATCTTTTTTTATTTTTTTTGATGTTAAGTATGTGATCCAGGGTATCTATAGAAATAGTGTCTTTGAAATTGAACTTTTTAAGGTGAAAATGAACTGGTATCTATTCAGAATAAGAAACTAACTGGATTTCAAGGTAATGAAACATTTTGGTGTTTAATTTTACACGCGGATTAAGAAATATGTTAATTTTATACTTTTTATGAAACATTTTAACATTTATTTGTATGAAATGTTTTTCTTTTGTTTGTTTGCACACTCGAAATTGTTCTATTATGTATTTTGAATTTTGAAGATGGGTCATGATGTATTATGGACTAATTTTGAATTTGAATAATTTTTTGATATTTTATTGGTTACGATGGGGCTTATGCCTCAAAATGCCTCTGCGTATCATTCCCGCCTCATGAAGCAGAAACACCTCAGGTACTTGATTGGGCCTTTTTAAACATTGGTTTGTTAACTACATTAGGAACCTTTCAGATGAAGTATTAGGAGAGTCCAGGGTAAACCACCCAATGAAGAAATCTGGTGATGAAGTAAGAAGGCGCGAATAGCATTTGAGGCTAAAGGGGAATTGTAGAAACTAATGAAAATGTAAAAATATGGAAGTTTTTGGAAAGTACAAGTTAGCTAAATAGGAAGCACAGAGGGGATTCAACACTTTCAAGTGGGGAGCGTATGATGAGTTTTATAATTATGTGGAAACCAAGGCCGTTGAGGAAGTCATTTGTATGAGATCTTTGTTAAAGGAAAAGGTTGAGATTTAAACCGAGCAAGTTTATTAAGGATGAAAAATATGAAGTATTATTTCGTGGTGATGAAATCATAAGGTTGGTGAAAATATTTTGACAAGCTATTTAGTAGAAGATATGGGGACCTATCAAATTCAATTGTAAATGGAAGTGTTACCACAATCTTTATTAGATATTCAGGTCGCGTGAGGGAGGGGAGAATGCATATGTGAAATCAAATTGGTTTTGTTGGATTTTTTTTTTTAAGTGGATAGATGTTTTGGTGAGGTGACGCCTTCCTTTCTGCTAATCCTTCAGAAGAGACATAGTATTTTCCAGTAAACGACTCAGCGCTTTGAAAGCCGAATCATTCAATGAGCGATTAAGATTAAGCACCCCATTTTGAGGAAAAATGTATTTTGGAATAGTGATTTTTTTGGAGAATGTGTCGTTAAAAAATAAGAAAAATTCCGATTTACGTGTAAAATTATTTTATTAAAGAATGTGCGGTGAGAAATGAGTTTTGAAAAAATGGGGGCTCAAACAAGGGCTAAATATTCTTGATAAATGGTTATAAGGATAAGAAAAATTCAAGATTGTATATGCTATATAGCTATTACGTAAGTGTGATTGGGGTGTAATTCAGAGTCATTAGAAAATTGGTCCGGTTATGCTTAGATCTAGTGTGGAAGTCATCTATGTACTTCAGATATCGATGGAAAAATTAAATAGAGAATGGGCAAGTTTTGCATTAGATATGTAAAAAAGCATATGATACGGGTACTAACGAAGTTCTCGGTGAGTTTTTGGGAAAAAAGTGTCTGTGCTATGTATCAATATTAGCGAAAATATGTGTATGGAGATGTCAAGTGTGAGATCCAGATGTCCATTGATGATAATAGTATAGAATTTCTTATTAGTTAAGGCTTGCATAAATTTGTCTTGAGTTATTTATTTATTTATTTTTTATTTGCATAAAATTAAATAAAATTTTGATTCTTTTGTTGGGAAGATAATAGCTGTAAAACATGTAACTGGTCACAATATGCATTGCACCCTATTACAATTCAATTTAATGACTGATAATTACTGTGATGCCTAGGGGATTCAACAAGGCTTATAACTGGAAGTGCAGACCAGACAGCAAAGCTGTGGGATGTTCAAACTGGAACTCAGCTTTACACCTTCAATTTTGATTCCCCAGCTAGGTCTGTTGATTTTGCAGTTGGTGATAAGCTGGCAGTAATTACCACCGACCCTTTTATGGGATTAACTTCTGCTATTCACATCAAGCGCATAGCCAGAGACCACAGTGACCGTAAGTATCAACTACTTGTGTGATTGTTCCTCTTTAGGTAGATTTATGCTCTTCTGGATTACCTTATTATTATACGTTTCTTTAAGGATGTTGGTTTTTTGTGGTCTATTTTTCTTATATTCTGGCCGTGGTATAATTCATCCAATCTTTAGCTGTTTTAGTTTGATTTCTGCTGGGCTTGCGTGTACACATGAAGTTCAAATGCAGTTGTCAGAAACTTCTGTTACTTGTCTTCCTATTATATATTGCTAAATTTATTTGTCGCCAGTAAATTCTAAATGTTGACTGCGTTGCAGAGACTAGCGAATCTGTTGTCATTCTCAAAGGGCCCCAGGGAAGAATTAACAGAGCAGTTTGGGGACCTCTGAATAAGACAATAATAAGTGCCGGTGAAGATGCTATTGTTCGTATCTGGGATTCTGAGGTTGTAAACTATTTATCTTGTCTTATCTGATAGTTTTTTGCAAGAAAACAATTGTTACTAGATACTAGATAGGTAACTATTTGCTTGTGAAATTTCTTGATATTCAGTCACTTAACTGAAGCTTTGAATTTAGTATGCAGCCTTTTGTTTCTTTGTGCATTTGCCTTCATATGCATGCTAATTTTTATGCCTTTATTGATATGAAATTAATATGTTGGGTTTCGAACTGACAGACAGGGAAATTATTGAAAGAGTCTGACAAGGAAGATGGCCACAAGAAACCCATTACATCTCTTTCAAAATCTAATGATTGTTCACATTTCCTTACTGGTTCCCTAGATAAATCTGCTAAGGTGTGGTATTTTTTTCTTAATCTTTTTGGTATCCTCTTAGCCCTTTTGTTTTTATGTACCGACACCTCTGTTTTCACTTTCTTATTGGTTGACTGCTGTGCATGTTCACTAGCTTTGGGACTCAAGAACTCTGACGCTCATCAAGACATATGTAACTGAACGCCCGGTGAATGCAGTTGCAATGTCTCCACTTCTAGACCATGTATGTGCTGACAGAGAACTTAACTGAAAAAAACTCATGATGTTTCTGTTCTGCCTTAGTTGAAAAACGTTTTGTTTATGCATTTTCTTTTCTTGCCTTTGTATTAATTTGAAATTGTTGTCTTGTCCTTTTCGTTGGTGAACTAAGTGGCAAGTTACTTTCCTTAGACTGCCTTCAGAGCTGATTAATGCTTAACTTGTGTGAATGTAAGCTTAGCATGTTTGATCTAGAACCTTTACATCCATCTGATCTTTGAACTAGAATATGTGATCTTTGACTTGGATGATTTAATCAAAGACTGTGCCAAGTATTTTTGTATATGACGAGCGAGCAACATGATAGATATGTCAGTCATGATAGAATCTTCTTAATCGTGAATTCTTAAAACTTAGTGACATGTTGCACGTTGATGGAGGACAGATGTGACTAAGCTTAGACGTTGGTAAATGGCTTTCAAACTTCTCCTCCCCTCCTACCACACCACTTTACCAAGGTGTGCAAGGTGTAGATGCTGACCTTTATGCTTCAATAGAATCAGCTATTCATCTTATATATTCTGCCCCCTTGGTGGACTTGATGAAATAGTCATGTTAACCATCTTATAAATTATAATTGAATTTGATGAAGTTAATAATTTTCTTAATTAATAATATCTCTACTAAACAAGTCAACAATGTTGTTTCACCTTCTAAAATTGTAAAATTTTTGTTAGTGGTGAAAAAAAAAATAATAATAATAAAAAAAGCCAACCCGCCAAACCGAATCTACCACGATTTTGAAACCATTGATTTTGGTCGACATGTTTTAGGTTTTCATAGTTAAAACCAAACCATTCACCAATTTGGCCTCTGTTTGAGCCACATTCTTATTTTCATTCTCATTCTTCTATTTATTTTCAACCACACATTCTTCGATAAAATAATATTTTCCGTCACATCAATAACTTTTCCTTCTTTTTCAACCACATATTCACCATCACATCACAAAAAAAATGCACTCTCTCCTAAAAAATGTGCATCAAACACTCTTATTTAAAAAAAAAAAAAAAAACGTATTTCACTAAGATATATCATTTATTAGATCAATTTTTATTCAACAATTTTTATTGCTCATCGACTTCTATTGACTCTTTAAGAAAATAATGATTTATTTATGATAATACTCTTCTCATCTAAAGAATGAAATTGCAAGCTTAAATTTTAATATTGATCTTGTATAAATTTATTGGTTTCAGCTTGTATTGAGGAAAATATATTATTATTGTAATGTTTATGTTTAAATGGTCCAATCTAGGTGTTATAATTTAATTTTAGACCGATATGTATATATTTTCACTTGTTTTGAAGATATTATTTCTGTGTTGCTAAAATGGAGGTTTGAAACTAAATTAAATCTCAAAAGATGAAATGATTAGGTTTGGAATTTTTTCGAAACATTTAAAGTGGTTTGGTTTCAAAATAGTTCAAAAACTGCCCAAATTGAACCCCTTTTACCCCTAATAGACATGTATAGCTATTAATATTTCGTACCATTGGCTGTATATGTACAGCAATATGGATAATTATAACTAAGCAATTACT